TTTTTTTTTTTTTTTTTGGTAGCTCTGGGGTTTGAACTCAGGGCCTCATGCCTTCTAGGCAGGCACACTTGAGCCACTCAACCAGCTCTTTTTTTGTGTGTATGATAGGGTTTTGGAGATAGGGTTTGGTGAACTATTTGCCTAGGGCTGACTTCAAACCTCTAATCCTCCTGATCTCTGCCTCCTGAGTTGATAGGATTACAGATGTGAGCCATCAGTGCCAGCTATTATTTATGCTTCTTGAGTAGCTGGGATGACTGAGATGGGGGGGGGGGGCTCATGAATTTTTTCCCAGGCTGGTCTTGAACTTCAATCTTCCTGATCTCTGCCTCCCAATTAATTTTAATTTTCAACTATTCACAGCTATTGTAGAGAAATACGATGGATTTTTGCATGTTAATCTGGTACACTGAAACTCAGTTGTTGGTCCTCTCTGACTTTTTGGTAGATTCTTTGGTATTTCCACATATGCAGTCTTATTATATGCTAATAAAGTCAGCTTTATTTCTACCTTTCATCTTTTCATCTCTGTGCATTTTAAGTTTCTTTACTGACTTGTTAGGAATTTAGACTTTTTTTTTTTTTTTTTTTGAGAAAGTTTCTCCCTATGTAGCCCATGTTGGCTTCCAACTCCTCCTGTCTCAGTGTCCCAAGTGCTAGGATTATAGGCATGCCATTCATCACCACACCTGATCTGAGAACAAACATTCATGGCTTTTTGGTTTTGGTTTTTGTTTTTTGCAGTACTAGGAATTGAACTCAGGGCCTGCAGCCCTTCTTGTTTCTTTGTTTTTGGTGTCACTGGGGTTTGAACTCAGGACTTCATGCTTGCTAGACAGGCACTGTTGCTGCTTGAGCTACTCCACCAGCCCCCCCAAACCTTTTTTTTTTTTTTTTTTTTGTGGTGCATTTTTTGAGATAGGGTCTCTAGAACTATTTGCCTGGGGTTGGCTTAGAACTGAAATCCTCCTGATCTCTGCCTCCTGAGTAACTAGGATTTTAGGCATGAGACACCTGTGCCCTGCTTGTATTTTGTTTTTGTTTTTGTTTTTGTTTTTTTAATTCCAACAGCTTTTATTTATTTTTATTTTCTTAGTGGTACTGGGGATTGAACTCAGTTCCTTGCTCTTGCTAGGCATTTTCTCTGCCTCTTGAGCCACTCTGCCAGCCCTTGTTGTGTTAATTATTTTTGAAATAAGGTGTGGACAATGATCCTCCTATTTGTGCTTCCCCATGTAGCTGGCATTACAGATGCACACCACTGTGCCTAGCCATTGGTTGAGATTGGATCTCAAACTTTTTGCCTGGACTGACCTTGAACCATGATCCTCCTGATTTCCACCTCCCAAGTAGCTAACTCTGAAAAATTCTGTGCCCTTTTGCAGTTGACCCCTCCCTCTCTCCCAGACCCTGACAACCATTACTTTTCTATCCTTATAGTTTTCCATTTTTACTGAGGGCTGGGATCTGTATAGGTATGTGCCACCAAGCATGACTTGTTTATTAGTTCTAACAGTTTGTATGTATGTATGTCTGTGTATGTCCATTCTTTAGGGTTTTTTACATATGCGGTCATATGTTGGTACTTAGTTTTACGTGATGACCTATAGTTCATCCATTTACCTGCAAATGACATAATTTCATTCTTCTTTGTGGCTGAATAATGTACATCTTTCTCTTAATCCATTCATCAATTGTAATGCAATCTGGTCTGTTTCCACAGCTTGGCTATTGTGAATAGTGCCGCCTGCAATAGACATGAGTGTGCAATGTCTTTATTGTATCCTGACTTTACATTCCTTTGGATATTTGCCCAGGAATGGTATCACTGGATCTTATGGTAGTTCTATTTTTAGTTTTTTGTGGAACCTCCATACTGATTTTCATAGTGGTTGCACTGATTTACATTCTCACCAACACTATAAATGGGTTCCTTTCTGCTGCCCCACATCCTCACCAACATTCGTTGTTATTTGTATTCTTGATGATAGTCATTCTAGCAAGAGTGAGGTGAAATCTTAATGTCATTTTGATTTGCATTTCTTTTATGGACAGAGAAATAGATGAGCATTTCTTCATGTATTTATTAGCCATTTGTACTTTTTCCTTTGCAAAATATCTGTTCAGTTCATTTGCCCATTTCTTCATTGGGTTGTTGATTCATTGTGGATTCATTGGTTAGTAATCCTTCTCAGATATTGTATAGTCTGCAAATATTTTCTACCATTCTATGGTCTGTGTCTCCAGTTTGGTAACTATTTCTTTTGCTGTGTGCATAAGCTTTTTAGTTTGATATAGTCCCATTTGTCAGTCCTTTCTCTTAGTTGCTAAGCTACTGGAGTTCTATTCAAGAAGTTATTGCCCCAAGCCTTGTATGCACATATGAATAATAAAAGAAAAAAAAAAAACAACAGAGACACAGAGACTTTAAAGAAAAAAAATAATAAAAATTAAAAAAAAAGAAGTTATTGCCTATGCTTATATGCTAGAATGTTTTCCCTATTCTTTCCTGTAAATCAAAGTTTCAGATCTTTTTGGGGGTGAGGTTTAAACTCAGGGCTTCACACTTGCTAGGCCGTCATTCAACCACTTGAGTCACTCCACCATCCCTTTTTGGTGTTTAGTACTTTTGAAATAGGGTCTCCTGAACTATTTGCTTGGGCTGGCCTCTAACTGCTAGCCTCCCAATCTCAGCCTCCCTAGTAGCTAGAATTACAGGTGTGAGCCACCAGCACTGGGTTCTTTGATCCACTTTGAATTGATGTTAGTACATGGTGAAACAGGGATCTAGTTTCAGTTTTCTACGTGCAGATATCCAGTTTTCTCAGCAACATTAAAGTGGCTGTCTTTTCTCCATTATATGTTTTGGACTTCTTTGTCAAAAAATCATATAGCTATAGCTGCATGGATTTATGTCAGAGTCTTCTGTTCCATTGGCCTTCATGTCTGTTCTTGTGCCAATACCATGCTGGGTTTTTTTGTTATGGCTCTATAGAATAGTTTGAAGTACAGTATTGTGATATCTCCAGCATTGCTATTTTTGCTCAGTATTGCCTTGGCTATTCAAGACCTTTTGTGCTTCCATATGAATGATAGCATTGATTTTTCTATCTCTGTGAAGAATGTCTTTGGGATTTCAAAGGGAATTGCATTGAACATATAAATTGATTTTGATAGTATACCAATTTTATGATATTGATTCTGCTGATCTATGAGCATGGGAGATCCTTCCATATTCTGATGTTTTCTTTCTTCAATGATTTGTTGTTTTGTTGTAGATGTCTTCCACTTCCTTTGTCTTTTTTTTTTTTTTTAGGCTATTGTATATTGAATTGTTTTCCTGATTTCTTTCTTAATCTGTTCATTGTTGTTTTATAGAAGAGCTACTGGTTTTTTGTATATTGATTTTTGTATCCTGCTACTTTGCTGAAAGTGTCTATGATGTCTAAGAGTTTTTTGATGGCGTTTTTATGATCTTTCAGGTACACAATCATATAATCTGCAAATAGGAATAGTTAGACTTTTGAATTTCTTTTATTTCTTCTTCCTGTCTTATTGCTCTAGCCAGGAATTCCAAGACTATCTTGAATACGAGTGGAGAGAGTGGACACCCTTGTCTTGTTACTGAATTTAGAGGAAATGGTTTCAGTTTTTCTCCAGTTAGTATGATGCTGTAGGTTTGTCATATATAGCCTTAATTATATTGAAGTACATTCCTTCTATTCCTAGTTTCTTCAGAGTTTTTAATCATGAAAGGATGTGGAATTTTGTCAAAGGCTTTTTCTACATCTATTTTTTTTTTTTTTGGCCTCAGACCTTTTGCAGATTGCCCACCTTTATCAATGTTTTTTGGGTTTTTTTTTTTTTATATGTGCATACAATGTTGGGGTCATTTCTCCCCCCTTCCCCCCGCCCCTTTCTACATCTATTGAAATAAGCATGGGATTTTTCTCCTTGCTTCTGTTTATATGCTGTATTACATTTATCGATTTGTATCCCAGCGTCACTGGAATGAAACTGACTTGGTCATGGTATATGTTCTTTTTTATGTATTTTTTAATTTTATTTTTATTATTTTTTTGGTGGGACTGGAGTTTGAACTCAGGGCCTCATGCTTGCTAGGCAGGTGCTCTACCACCTGAGCCACTCCACCAGCCCTTGCTATGTTGTTGAATTTGGTTTGCCAGTATTTTATTGACAATGTTTGCATCTATGTTCACTAAAGAGACTGGCCTATGATTCTCTCTTTTGTTGAGTCCTTGTCCAGTTTTGAAATGAATGTAATACTGGCTTCATACTTTGGTAGTATTAATTCTCTTTCTTTTATGGAAAAGTTTGAGAAGTATTGGTATTAGTTCTTCTTTAAAGGTCTAGTAGAATTCAGAAGTGAATTTATCAGGACCCAGCGCTTTTCTTTGTTGGGAGATTCTTTATTACTGCTTCAATCTCATTGTTTGTTACAGATCTATTTAGGTATTTTATGTCCTCTTGTTTCAATTGGGGGGGGGAGTTGAGGGGTTTTTTTTATTATTATTATTATTGTACTGGGGGTACATTGTGACATTTACCAAACTCCTGTTTCAATTTTGGTTGGTCAAATGCATCTATAAATTTATCCATTTTTCTAGATTTTCCAGTTTATTTGAATACAGGTTTTTGATGTTTTTCCCAATGATGCTCTGGATTTCATTGGTATTTGTTGTGATAGCCCTTTTTTCATCTTTAATTTTATTACTTTGGGCCTTTCCCTCTCTACCTTCTTGTCAGATTGGCTAAGGGTTTATCAACCTTATTTATCTTTTCAAAGATGCTAATTTTTATTTAATTGATTTTGGCCTTAGTTTTTATAATTTCTTTCCTTCTAATTTTGGGTTTAGCTTGTTCTTCTTTTTCTAGGAGCTTTAGGTGCAGCATTAAGTCATTTATTTGAGCCCTCTCTGTTATAATAATATAGTACTCATATCTGTAAACTTTCTATCCCATAAGATTTGGTAGGTTGTGATTTCATTTTCATTCCCCCCTTATTTCTTCACTAACCCATTGGTCATTCAACAACATGCTGTTCGATCTCCTGGTGTCTGAATATTTTCTGTAGTTTCTTTTGTTGGTGACTTCTAGTTTTATTCCACTGTGGCTGATAACTTACAGGGAGTTATTTCAACTTTTTATTTATTTATTTATTTATTTATTTATTTATTTGCAGTACTGGGGCTTGAACTCAGTCACCTTGAGCCACTCCACCAGCCCTATTTTTGTGAAGGGTATTTTGAGATAGGGTCTTGTGAACATTTTCCCAGACTGTCTTCAAACTGCAGTCCTCCTGATCTCTGCCTCTTGAGTAGCTGGGATTACAGGCATGAGCCACTGGTGCCCAACTTCAACTTTCTTATATATATATTTTTTTCTTTTATTTTTTCTTTACTTCATTTTTTCAACTATGTTATGTTTGTTAAGACTTGCTTTGTCTCCTTAAATATGATCTATGTTGGAAAAAGTTCCATGGCCTGCTGAAAAGAATGTGTATTGTGATGCTGCTGGATGAAATACTCTGTGAATGTTTGTTAAGTCCATTTGGTCTATAGTATCATTTATTTTTCCTTTTTTTTTTGGTGCTGGGGACTGAACTCAGGTCTTGGCATTTGCCAGGCAAGTGCTCTTCCACTGAGCTGAATCCCCAACCCCTATAGTATCATTTAATTCAGTGGTTTCTTTGATTTTTTTTTTTTTGTGGTGGTACTAGGGTTTGAACTCAGGGCCTCCTAATATCCTGAACAGGCATGATCCACCAGTGTCTGGAGCTTTGTGGTTTTTTTGTTTGTTTGTTTGTTTGTTTTGCCTACTTGCTCTATCTATTGGTGATAGTGGGGTATTGAAGTCTCTAATCATTGTGTTGGGGTTTGTCTGTGGTTTTAAGTTCAGTATTTCATGTTTAATAAGGTTGGGTGCACTGATATTAGGCATATATGCAAGTTCACAATTGTTATTTCCTCCTGATGTATTGTTCCTTTTAGTAGGATGGAGTGACTTCTTTGTCTCTTCTGACTAATTTACATTTGAAGTCTACTTTATCAGATACAGGTATACCTACTGCTGCCTGTTTTGGGGGTCCATTTATTTCGGAACTCTTTTTCCACCCTTGCACCTAAGCCAATGTTCGTTTTTGTCAGTGAGATACATTTGTTTTTTTGTGGTGCTGAGATTTGAACTCAGAGCTCACACCTTAAGCCACTCCACCAGCCCTTTTTTTGTGATGGATTTTTCAAGATATTTGCCTGGGCTGGCTTTGAATGGAATCCTCCTGATCTCTACCTCCTGAGTAGCTAGGATTTCAGGTGTAGGCCGCCAGCACCCGGCTAAGTGAGATACATTTCTTGTAGGCAACAAATTGTCAGCTCTTGCTTTTTAATCCAGCTCACCAATCTGTCTTTTGATTGGGGATTTGAGATAATTGACATTCTATGTTAATATTGAAAGGTAGGTGGTAATTCCTGCTATTTTGTTGCTGTAATTATTATTTTTTTTTTTAGTGTTTGATTCTTTCCTATTTTTCATTTGCTTATCTGCTTATCTGGTGAGATTTAATTATGCTTTCATGGCTGTGTTTATCTTTGTAATATTCCTCTTAAGTACCTTTTGGAGTGCTTGTTTAGTGGCCACAAATGGTGTCAGTTTCTGTTTATCATGGAAGTTTTTTATTTCTCTTTCAATTATGATAGTTTTACAGGTTAATCTAGGTTTGAAATTATTTTCTTTCAGTGCTTGAAATACCTCATTCTATGCTGTCCTTGCTTTTTAAGTGTTCTGTTGAGAAATCTGCTATTATTCTGATGGCTTTGTTTTTATACTTGTATTGATGTTTCTCCCTTGCAGTTTTCAATATTCTTTCTTTGTTTTCTTAATGTTTTAAATATACTCTGCTCCTTTCTTCAGCAAAATCAGTGATAAGGGCAGAATAGGACCTGCCTGAAACTAAGAGGGGGGATGCAGGGGGGAGGGGGCAGGGTGGAGAAATGACTCAAACAATGTATGCACATGTGAATAAATAAACAAACAAAAAAAAGTGACTTTGAAAAAATAAATATAATATGCCATTGAGAGGTTCTATTTTGGTCATTTCTGTTTCAAATCCTAGAGTCCTTCACAGATGGGGATATTTTTCTCAAGATTTGTGAAGCTTTCTGCTGCTATTTTGTTGAGTATGTTTCTTATGCCTTTAACTTGCACCTCTTACCCTCTTCAATATCCATGACTTGTAGGTTTGGGCTTTTAATGGAGTCACAGAATTCTTCCATATTCCATTAATACTTCTTCATTCTTTTTCCTATGTATTCATCTGTTTTTTTTCTATTACATCTACTTTGTCTTCAAGCCCTGAAATTCTATCTTCTTCTTGATTCAGTTTTCTGGGAAGGTTTTCAACTGAATTTTTTATTTGACTTAAGGAACTTTCTATTTCCAGAGCTTCAGTTTGAGTTTTTTAGGCTTTCTATATCTTTATTGAATTTTTTTTCATGCCTTGTATTGTCTTCCTTATTTCATTTTGCTATTTATTTGTATCCTCCTTGGGTTCACTCAGTTGTTTGCATCATCTTTGAGTTCATTTAGTTGTTCTTTGCATTCTCATTGAATTCATTTAGCTGTTTATTTGTATTCTCTTTGATTAATTGACTTGTTTTTGCATGTCTTCTTTCATCTCATTAATCATTCTTATCTTTTTTTTTTTTTTTTTAGTGGTACTGGAGTTTCACCTCAGGGCCTCACACTTGCCAGGCAGGTGCTCTACTACTTGAGCCACACTCCACAAGGCCTTTTTTTTGTATGTGTGTGTTGTATATTTTTAAGATAAAGTCTCATGAACTATTTGCCCATGCTAGCTTCAAACTGTGATTCTTCTGATCTCCTGTGTAGCTAGGATTACAGGCATGAGTCATTGGCACCCAGCTTATCATCATTTTTTTGAGCTCAGAAATTGAGATTTCATTCCTCCTTCAGATCCTTTGTTGTATAATTGTCAACCTTTTAGAGAGTCATGTTCCCTTGTCTTTAATATACCTTATGACTCTATTTTGAGAATTGCATATCTGTAGTCAATTAGTTGGTTGGTGGTTTTTAGTCACCTAAAATCTTTCCCTTGAATTATTTTCTATGTTCTGGCAAGAGTGGTTAGTGACTAGGTTGTTGTGCTATTTCTGATGACTGGCCTGGGGTATAATTTAGCAATAACAAATTCACCAACTCAATACCAAACTAGATATTTACATGTAGTATAACACCATTGATGGTATTATCTGTATACCTACATTATATGTAAAGGGGACTAGTGCTCTTGTATCATACAGTAGGGGGTTAGAAAAATAAAACTTGTTTACATTCAGGTGGGGGAGGAGATAAGAAAAAAGGAAGATGTGGAAAAGGGGAGTGAAGTGTGAGGGCTGCAGGTAAGCAAAATCCTAGTGTGTAGAGATATAGTTCAATTGTTGTGGAGAAGTGTGTTATTGTCAGGATAGAAAGGCTGAGAGTAATATAAGAAAAAGATAGGAGATAGAATAAGTGAAGAAAAAAATTTTGAAAAGAAATGAAAAAGTAAGTAGAAAAAATTGGCAATACAGAGGAGTAGAGCTAGGCAGGTGCTCTACCACTTGAGCCACTCCACCAGCCCTTTTTTGTGTTGGATATTTTTGAGATAGCATTTCATGAACTATGCCCAGGCTGGCCTCCTCATCTCTCTGCCTTCTGGTAGATAGCATTGTAGGTGTAAGCCACAGACACCCAGTCTTACAAACTTTTTTTTAAGTTGGTATTTCTTTGTTGATGAGGGGAAGAATGGATATCTTCTGTGCTCTATCAGTACACTAGATGCTCCCTTCTAATCTCTGGTTCTTGGTTGTTTTTTGTTTTTTTGGCTTTTGTTTCTTTCTTTTTTTAGGAGAAAACAAAGATTTATTAGATTGCCATTAAAAGAAGAGATAAATGGTGGGTGGCTGCACAAAGGAGCATAGCCTGGTCTTTAGGTTTTTGTCTACAACCCTGGATTGCAGGTGTAACTTGGCAGGGGATGTGGGGAAGAGCCTCTGGATAAGGCAGTTGCTGGAGTGAGGTGGGGCAGTTCTAGGTATATGAAATAGCCTTCATGAGTTGTTTGTGGGTTCTCTGAGCACAGCTAATGGATTAGAAAGCACTCTGACTCTTCTCCCTGTTTAGGGAATTCAATGGTTGCTCTGACTTGTCCACAATGAGCTTTTCTCCCTTTTCTACCTAAGCCTTGAGTTTAAATGTTTCATTTGAGGAGCCAGGGGAGAATAGCTTCTGTCACTTGTGTATATGCACATGCTGCTGGATTGTGTGGTAGGTTAAGGGCTCTAGCTAGCTGCCCAGTTCACCTGGTATCGTCCTTATTTTCGTATAGAGACCCAGATGCTGAGCTTTAGCCTGCTAGTCATTGGCTTCATGCATCTCCTTTGGGTAAAGATTCTTGGCTGATTGGTTTCTGATGCCCCCCACCTCCAACCCCACTCCAGACAGGTCTGGGAGTCTTCAATCAGTCCATTTATCCAAAGGATTCTTTAGAGGATCAGATGCAGCCCACAGTATCTGCAAGAGTCTCACAAGGTGGAAGTTTTAGCAAGGACTTATTTTATTTATTTATGTGTGTGTATGTGTGTGTGTGTGTGTGTGTGTGTGTGTGTGTGTGGTACTTGGACTTGAACTCAGGGCCTGTACTTTGAGCCACTTCATCAGTCCTTTTTCATGATGGGTTTTTTTGAGATAGGTTCTCTACAACTATTTGTCTGGGCTGGGTTTGAACTGCTATCCTCATGATCTCTGCCTCCTGAGTAGCTAGGATTATAAGCATGAGCTACTGGCACCCAGCCAAGGATTTATTTCAGCAGAGCAGGATAAAGTAGAGAGAAGTGGGAAAATAAAAGGGAGAAACATTTCCTGTTCCCATGTAGGAAATGGGAGTAAAGCAGAAAAAAGAATTTTTAAAGAGGGAAAATCTGAAGCCCCTGTAAAACCAAAATTAGCAAAACTTTTTTTTTTTTGAGATAGAGTCTCACTATGTTGCCCCAGCTAGCCTCAAACTTGTCATCTTCCTACTTAGCCTCCCAAGTAGCTGAGCTTAGCAAACCTTTAAACAGACAGATTTATATTAATTCTTACTGACATTCTGGGAAGAAAGGTGACAAAAGTTTTATTTTCAAACTAAGTATTAATCTTTTACTCCTTTTTGTCCTTGTAGGAGATTAGTATGCAGCTGAATGACATAATGAACAATGTGCAGCACATAATAGCTCGCTATAATATTGATTTTAATTTACCCTTTGGAAGAAGGAGCTTCCTTATTGAATCTAGGAACAAACAGAGGAACGCTTTCTTGGAGAAAATCATTGCTTATTCTAAGATCATTGACATTAGAGAAAAGACTCTTGCCCACATTCTGGCCTGGCTGGAAGAATGGAGTAAGTTTCCTTAAGGGATTCAGAGGAAAACCACAAAGTTAATGAAAAAGACAGAGAAGAGAATTTATAAGTACATTTTGAAGAATTAATCAGATTTGAGAAGGAAAGACTGGTTGGCGGAGTGGCTCAAGTGGGAGAGCACCTGTCTAGCAAATATGAGGCCCTGAGTTTAAAAAAAAAAAAAAAAAAAGGCTAACGTGGTTGTTCAGAGAACACTTCTTCTCTGTTTCAGTAAGAACAAATCAAAAATACAGGCTGACTCAATTAGTGGCAGCTATTCCAGTTTCCCTATTTTTATTTTATCTATCTATCTATCTATTTATGAGTCACTAGGATTTGAATTGAGGGCCTTGCACTTGCTAGGCAGACACACCCTCACTTCTTTTTGTTTTATTTATTTTGGGGATAGGGTCTCCCATTTATGCTCTGGCCAGCTTGATTCACAATCTTTCTGTTTATGCTTTCAAAGTAGCTATGATGAGAGGCACAGGCCACCACATCCAGCTTTTATTGGTGGAGATGTGGTCTCATGAACTTTTTGCCCAGGCTGGCTTCAAACCATGATCCTCCCAGTCTCCATCTCCCAAGTAGCTCATATTTTATAGGCTTGAGCCACTGCACCTGGCCTCAGCCTCCTTTCTTTATTCCAGTATGCCAGCATTCTCCTGCCCAATGTCCTTATGCTTACTATTCTCTTGCCTGGGACATTTTTCACCGGATAACCACATGGCTCATTTCCTGCTTAACTTCTACTTTTAAATGATTTGGTCTCTGACACCTGTCACCTAGCCCTGTCACCTAGCCCTGTCACCTAGCATGCCTCATTCATTATCCTTAATTTTTGTCTATAGGATTAGTATCTGATATACTACATAGATTGACTTCATATTTATTTTTTGTTTGTCTCCTTTCACTGGAATGTAAATACTGTGAAGTCAGAAAATTTGTTTTACTTAATGCTTTATCTACAACATGTAGAACAGTACGTGAGGAATTGGTGGAATGGCTTAAGTGGTAAAAGCACCTACCTAGCAAGTGTGAGACCCTGAGTTCAAACTCCAGTGCTGCCAAAAAAAAAAAGAAAATTAGAACGGTACATGACAGGGTAGAGATTGATGAATAAGCTAAAAATTTAAAAATGTAAAGGAATTTCATTTTGTTGCAAGAAATCATGCACTCATATTTTCAATATCTACTTCCCTGAGTCAGGGAAATAAACTAAATAGACACATTTTCATCAGATTCATATTTTCATATCCAAGACTTCTCGTCTTTTCCTTTATAATTGCTTTATAGAGAAAAGGTTCAGAATAACAATAAGTACAAGATAATTATATTACCCACACTTTTTTTTTTTTTTTCAGTACTAGGGTTTGAACTTAGGGCCTTCACCTTGAGCCACTCCACCGGCCCTATTTTTGTGAAGGGTTTTTCGAAATAGGGTCTCATGGAACTATTTGCCTGGGCTGGCTTCAAACTGTGATCCTCCTGATCTCTGCCTCCTGAGTAGCTAGGATTATAGGCATGAACCACAGGTGCCTGGCCACCCATATTATTATGTTATATAGTTATGCAACATTGTAAGTCTATATGTCCTCGTTTGTATAGTGGTGAGAATAAAAAAAAAGTCTGCGTGGTTGTAATTATTTATTTTTCTGTACAAAAATAATTTTTTTTACTCTCTTCAAGATGCCACTTTGTCTGAGATAACTGAAATAGACTTTGAAGAATACCACCACTGGGTAGCACAAATGGAGTTTTTACCAGAAACGTTAAAAGCAATTGACAACGATGTCAAGATACTATGTAGAATTAGTATGACTCTCCTTGAAGAACAGAAGAGACAAAAGAAAAAACTATGTAAGGGTGCTTTATGACTTTAAATACTATTTGATCTATGCCCTCAGCCTTTTTGTTTTTATATTTTAATCATTTTTTAATTTATTTTGGGAAGGATAAGGGAGGGGGTAGGGGAAGGGGGGAGAAATGACCTAAACATTGTATGCAAATATGAATTAAAAAAAATTTTTTTGTTCCTGGGGTTTGGACTCAGGGCCTCATGCTTGCTGGGCAGGCACTCTACCACGTGAGCCACTCCACTTGCCCTTTTTTGTGTTTTTTATTTTTTGAGGTAGGGTCTCATGAACTATTTGCCAGGGCTGTCTTTGAACTGCCATCCTCCTGATTTCTGCCTCCTGAGTAACTAGGATTATAGGCATGGCCCAGTTGTTTCTATTTTGTTTTTGAGTTAGAGTCTTGATAACTTTGCCCAGGCTGACCTTGAACCTTAGTTTCCTGTCTTTGCCTCCCAAGTAGCTGGGATTATAAGGAATGAGCCATCATACCCGACTAAATATAAGTTCTTTATCAGAAAAGTGATTTGTGAATATTTTCTTATAATCTGTGGCTTAACTTTTCATTTTCTTAGTGGTATCTCTGAAGCCCAAAAGTGTTTAATTTTGAAAAACTCCACTTTGTCAGTTTTTTCTTTTATGAAACGTGGTTTTAACATTGTACTAAGAACTTGTATCAAGCCGGGCACAGTTGTGCTTAGAGTCCCAGCTACTTGGGAGACAGAGGCAAGAGACTTATTTGAGAAGCAGAACCAATAGGAGATCATATATAACCCATGTGTGTTTGTGTGTGTGTGTGTGTGTGTGTGTGTCTGACTGTCTGTCTGTCTGTCTGTGTGTTCCATTGGGGAACATACTTTGTATATGATTTCAATCTTTTTTAAATTTATTGAGACTCGTTTCCTAGTCCACTGTATGTTCTAACTGGAGAATGTTCTATGTGTATTTGAAAGAAAAATATATTCTATTATTGTTGGGTGGAGCATTTTAAGTTTGATTTATGGTGTTGTTTAAGTTTTCTGTGTATTTACTGATTTTCTGTGTAGTTATTCTATTCACTATTGAGAGTGGGATGTTGAACTCTCCAATTATTATTTCTGAGTTGTCTGTTTTTCCTGTTAATTCTGTCAGTTTTTGCTTCTTGTATTTGGGGGTTCAGTTGTTAGGTGCATATTTATTTATAATTGTATTAGCTTCCTGATGAATTAACTGTCCATTCATTATAAAGTGTCTTTCATTGTCTAGAACCATGTGTTTATTCCTTTAATTAATCCTCTTGATCTCTACCTCCTGAATAGTTAGGATTACAGGACTGAGTTACAGGCCTGAGCCACTGGCACCAGACCAGAATTTTTTTCTTTTAATACAAGTTTGACAGGATTTTTGTTTGTTTGTTTTGTTTTGTTTATTGTATTGGCATTGAACCTAGGGCCTCATGCTAGCTAGACAGGCACTCTACCACTTGAACTATGCCCCAGTTCTTTGTCATTGTTTTTGAAACAGGGTCTCCATATGTAGCCCAGATTGGCCTTGAACTTGAGATCCTCCTGCTTTAGCCTCTGGAGTGATAGACATGCACCACCGTGCCCAGATTAGCATACCATTTAAATCCCCCTTTCTCAGTATATTGTTGGAGTAATGTCCTTAGTGCTTGCACTAGGGATTGCAGTATACAATAATCTCCATTTATCTACAGTTTTGCTTTTTTGCAGTTTTAGTTACTTTTGTAACTCATCCTTTCATGTAGCTTATCCATACTGGATACCCACACGTTAGACCAGTCATTTAGTAGCCTTCTTGGTTATCAGGTGGACTATTACAGTATCACAAATCTTGTGTTCACTTGAAACCCTTATTTTACTGAAGAATGAGCCAGTATCAGTTCATGTTTGCTGTAACAACAACAATAGTCCTGAAAGTACAAGAATAGTGATGCTGACAATTTGTATAGTCTAAAGAGAAGTTGTAGCCAGGCGCTGGTGGCTTATGCCCATAATCCTAACTACTCAGGAGGCAGAGATCAGGAGGATGGCAGTTTGAAGCCAGCCAGGGCGAATAGTTCATGAGACCCTATCTAAAAAAAAAACCCAATGCTAAAACGGGCTGGATGAGTGGCTCAAGGTGTAAGTCTTGAGTTCAAACCCCAGTACCACAAAATAAATAAATAAATAAAAACAAAGAGAAGTTGTAGAGTTTTCCTTTAAGTGAAAAGGTGAAAGCTGGTGAATTAGCAACAGAAGGAAAAAAAAAAAAATATATATATATATATATATATATGCTGAGGTTGCAAAGATGTAAGAAGAATCTTGTAGCCAGGCACAAGTGGCTCACGCCTGTAATTCTAACTCTTCACAAAAAAGGGTTGGTGGAGTGGCTTAAGGTGTAGGCCCTTAAACCCCAGTACCACAAAAGAAAAAAAAGAACGAATCTTCTGCCCATAAAATCGTGAAGAAGGAAAGAGAATTTGTGCTAATTTTGTTGTCACATCTTAAACTGAAAAAGTGATGCGATAAGTGGCAAGTGCTTAGTCATTTGAGTCACACTTCATCTCATCACATAAATACTGTGTATCAGCACAAGAAGGGAGAGTATAGTATAATAAAGATATTTTGAGAGAGAGAGAGAGATATGACATTCACACAACTTTTGTTATAGTTAATTGTTACAATTATTTTATTTTATTGTTAATCTCTTACTGCTTGCATGTATTGAAAAAATGTAGTGTATGTAGAGTTTGATGCTATCTGTGGCTTCAGGCATGCACTGGGGGGAGTCTTGGACTGTGTTCCCCACAGATGGAGGGACTACTCTCTCTCTCTCTTTCTCTCTCTCTCTCTCTCTCTCTATACACACACACACACGTATACATGCATACATGTGTATGGGTATATATATGTATATATGACAATAGCATATGTATACATATGTATGTTTTTCTTTTTCAATGGAGTCTTGCTATATTGCCCAACCTGGCCTCAAACTTGTGCTTCAAGTTTGAGTAATCCTGCTTCATCCTCCTCAGTAGCAGGGACTACACGCATGCATCACCATGCCCAGCTTTTATTTTTGGTGGTACTGGGGTTTAGACTTAGCGCCTCATGCTGAGGGCAGGCCCTCTACCACTTGAGCCACTCCATGAGCCCTTTTCTGTGTTTGGTATTTTCTTTTTTTTTATTGTTTTTATTGTTTTATTATACATATGTGCATACAAGACTTGAGTCATTTCTCCCCCCTGCCCCCACCCCCTCCCTTTGTGTTTGGTATTTTCGAGATAGGGTTTGTAACTCTTTGCCCGGGCTGGCTTCACACCATGATCTTGCTGATTACTGCAAAGACTCTACCACTGAGCTACATCTACAGCTGATTTTTTTTTTAACAGGGTCTTGCTATGTAGCCCAGGCTGGCATTGAACTCATAATCTTCCAGCCTCAGCTCCTGAGTGCTGGAATTATAGGCATGTGCCACCATGTCCAGCCTGATTTTTTTAAATGAATGTATAGTCTTTATTTTTCTAGAATATCTTAAAATTAGAATCATGCAGTATGTAGTTTTTCAATTCCTAGCATTTAATCATACATATTTAAATTCCCCCTATATCTTCTTATGGCTTAATAGTTCATTTCTTTTCTTTCTTTCTTTCTTCTTCTTCTTCTTCTTTTTTTTTGGCAGTACTTGGGTTTGAACTCAGGGCCTACACCTTAAGCCACACCACCTGCTCTTTCTTTGTGATGTTTTTTTCAAGATAGGGTCTTACAGAAGTATTTGCCCAGACTGGCCTTGAACCTCAGTCCTCCTGATCTCTGCCTCCTGAGTAGCTAGGATTACAGGCATGAGCCACTGGCACCTGACTAGCTCACTTATTTTTTTTGCTGAGTAATATTCAATTGTATAGGTTGCCTCACTTAATTTATCCCTCTATTCAAGGACCTTTTGATTGCTTCCAGGTTTTGGTGATTAAAAATAAAGCTGCTATAAACATTTGCCAAATTTTTTGTGGGGGGTGCATAAGTTTTCAAATTAATTGAGCAAATGCCTAGGAGTAGAGGTCCTGGATTATATGATAAGATTGTTATTTTATAAGTAATTTTGTAGGAAATTGCTAGGCTAGGGGTACATCTCTGTGATAGAGCTCTATCCTAGTGTATGAGAGGCCCTGGGTTCAATTTCCACCATTCCCCATCCTGTCCCCAAAAGAAATTGCCGGAGCCAGGCATGCTAATGCATGCCTGTAATCCCAGCAACTCCGGAGCTTGAAGCAGAAGGATCATGAGTTCGAGGCCAGCCTGGGCTATACAGTGAAACACTGTCTCAAAAAATAGCTTACTGAACTTCTTAAATTTGTAGGTAAATATTTTTCATCATATTTGAGATGATCTGTCCATTATTTTCTTTATTTTTTTTCTTTTTTGTGGTATTAGGGGTTTGAACTCAGGGCCTCACACTGGGCAAGCAGGCCCATCCCTTTTTGCTTTACGGATTTTTCTGATAGGGTCATTAATTTTTGCTCTGGGCCAGTCTCGTCTGCAGTCCTTCTATTTACACCTCCCTTGTAGCAGGGATGGTAGTTGCACACCACCACACCCAGTTTATTGGTCAAGATGGGGCCTGGCTGATTTTTTTCTGCCACCCCCCAATGGCCTGGAACCATAATCCTCATGATCTCCACTTCCTGTGTAGCTGGGATTATAGCCTTCTTTATTCTTTTATGTAACTCTCTTCTCTTCTGGGACTTCCAGAAGTCCTAGATTGGAGTGCTTTGTAGTGTCTGAATGTTTGTGTCTCCCAAAAATTCTTTATTTGAAATTTCAACCCCCAAGGTGATGGTAGGATATGGAGCCCTTGGCAGGTGATTGAATCATAAGGTCATGAATGGAATTAGTACTGAAGTTTTGAACCCCTGGACCAAACTCCTGGGCTTCCATATGCCAGATCTGGCCACTTGTCCTTGTATGCCAAATAAAGAGATGTTAGTAATCGTTAAGGAGAAGAAAAGTAAGCACTCCAGCCCATCTTCATTCATCTTCAGGGTATAGACATGAGCTTTACCTTTAAATAAACAAAGAATTAGGCAGGGGGCAAAATGTATACATAATTAGATAGCCCTAATCACAGGCCTGTTCCCTTTGTCAGAGGGGGCAGCAGTCAGGTGATGTAGCAGGTCATTGTTTCTGGATTGTTATCCCGGGATTGGTTGGGTGGGGTCTGGTTGACCATTGTTTCAATCCTTGTTCTTTCTTTCTTTCTTTTTTTTTTTTTTGGTAGTACTGGGGTTTTGAACTCCGGGCTTCACACTTGCTAGGCAGGTGCTCTACCTATTAGGCCTTTCCACCAGTTCTCAGTCTTTGTTCTTTGAGAAGTTATTACTGTCATCACCTGAGAGGGGCAGCCTGGTTCTCATAAGATGATTACTCCTGCTTCAGGGTGCAGTCTGGTCATTCTTAGTAATTGTCCTCATTTGAAGAGTGATCTGTCCTGCAAAGCTCCTCTGTTCATTAGAAATGTAGTTTCAGCCCCTTGTCATAAAGATGTTATGGATATGATCATTCCTGTCCTTCCTTGATTCCAAGATGGCTTCAGGAGAGAATGTTTCAAAGCAAAGGACAACAGGTACAAAATAGAGACAGAGATGCCAAGCTTTTCTCCTGTTTTTAGTTAATCTGTGGGCCCAAGTAAAGAGTCAGTGCTTTTTCAAGCAAAAGCAATTGAAGCATTTGTTACAGTATCTTTATAAAAGAGGCCCTCTTACCCCTTCCACCATGGGAAGCAGGCCTCTTACCTGCTTCCAAATATACCAAATTTCACTTGATCCTGGATTTCTCATCTTCCAGAACTTTGAGAAATAAATTAATAGATACACTGTTAATAGCAGTGTTAACAAAATTAGGTAGCAGCCCACAAATCTGAGGCTTTGTTTATTTTTCTTCATTCTTTTTTCTGTACTTCAGCTTGAATGATCTCCATTAGTTTGGCATCAGATTTGCTGATTATGCTGGGCACAGTTGGCTCAGGCCTGTAGTTCTAGCTACTCAGGATGTAGAGATCAGGAGAATTGGTTTGAAGCCAGTACCAGGGAAATAGTTTGTGAGACCCTATCTCAAAAAACCCATCACAAAAAAAGGGCTGGTAGAGTGTATCAAGTAGTGAGAGTGCCTCCCTAGAAAGCATGAGGCTGTGAGTTTAAACCCCAGTGCTACAAAAAAAAGAAAAAAGAAAAACAATTGTTGCTTATTTTCTTCTGTCACCTCAAATCTGTCTTTGAGCCTTTCTGGTGAATGTTTCATTTTAATTATATACTTATTAACTCTAAAAAATTTTTTTTTTTTTGGCAACACTGGGGTTTGGGCTCAGGGCTTTGAACTCAGGGCTTCAAAGGCAAGCAGTCTACCTCTTTGAGGCAGGCTAGAAGTAGGAAAAGTTTGGGGCTCATGTAGGTTTCCTGGGGATGACCCAGACTACTCTCACCTAGCTGATAACCGCCCATACCCCTCCTCACTTGTACATTATTGGGTGGGAATCTACTGGGTCTGCCCTCCCATGGGTTAGATGCTCTTTCTGCTGGTGGACTCCACCTGTGCCCCCTTTGTATTTCCTTTCCTAACTTAAAAAAAAAATTTATTGAACTCACAGCCTCACACTTGGTAGGCAGGCGCTTTGCCACTTGAGCCACTCTGCCAGCCCTTTGCTAACTTTTAATAAACTCCCTCTACACCCATGTTTTCTGCTTGGATTCCTCCATTTGGAGCACAAGGCCCAAGATCTTCTGAGAACGACTGCCTATGACAACTTGTACCATGCCTCCAGCCCCCAACTTGCATATCTTTATTGATATGCTCTATTTGATAAGTAATTGCCACCATATTTTCTTTTAAGTATGGCTTTCTTATTTCTCTGCACATATTAATTTATTTTCATTTTATTTGCATATATTCATTATACAGGGGAGATCCATTGTGCCTATTCTGAATAGCCTTACATTGTATATTGGTTAGATCACCCCCACCATCTCCCTGCCATAACCCCCTCCCCAACCCACTTAAAGCAATTGCAAGAGGTTTTGTCATTTTACTTCCTTTATGTATATGGAGCCCATCAATCATATTCCCTCACCTTCATCTCCTCCATTCATTCTCCTGAGTATATTTATCATTGCTTCTTTTGAAGTCTTTTTGTATGATAAATCTAGCATTTGGCCCTTCTCAGAGACAATGTTTATTGACTGCCCTCCCCCGCTTTGTACAAGTTGCTCTTCTCTGTTTCTTTGCATGTTTCTTTAATGTTCATAACTAGATGTTTTAGATACTATAATAACTCCCCCTATCCCGCCAGGGTTTGTTTTTTGTTGCTTTTTGTTTGTTTTTTAGTTATTATAGAGTCTATTTCTCCCAAAGTATTAAATCACTAATATCTCTTCTCAGTTCTTAATTTTTTTCTTTTCTTCCTTTCCTTTCCTTTCCTTTTTATTTATTTATTTTTTAAGCCTCAATTCCTAGGGTCACCCTTGGATCATTATAGTTTGTGGTCAATCAACAACTGACCAATTATTGGATGATCCACTGAGGCTTCCACTCTGCAAGTGAATCTGTGTGGAGGGTTTAGGACTTTTATGATAATAACCCTGGGCATGTTTTTTTCTTTGTTTGTTTTTTTTCTTTTCATGCTTAGTTCTAAATCAAGTCAACCTCCTCAAGCATAAAACTATCAGTCTTCACAATCTGCTTCACTTTGGTAGAACTAGAGGCCATGGAAGGCGGGGTAGGGGGGAAGACTTGGGGATGGAAGCAGCTCCAGGTTACCAGACTTAACATTGGTTTTGTTTTTACTGAGTTTTAGTAGTTTTTCTTGAATAAATGCTTCTCAATTTGTTGTATGCCTTTGATCAATTTCCAGAGTCCTAAAATGATCATTTTGACCATTTTGTCTAGTTTTATTATCGCTTTTAGGGGGAGAAAATCTGAGTTTCTCACTCAGTCATTCTGGAAATCCCCTCATTTTTTTTTTTTTTTGTGGTACTAGGGCTTGAATTCAGGGCCTACACCTTGAATCACTCCACCAGCCTTTTTTTCTGTGAAGGTTTTTTTGATATAGTGTCTCATGAACTATTTCCCTGGGCTGGCTTTCGACCCATGATTCACCTCCTGATCTCTGCCTCCTGATCAGTTAGGATTACAGGGTAAGCCACCTGCCTCAAATGCTTTTGTCTATCAGCCTTTTTTTTTTCTTTTAACAGTACTACGATTTGAAATCAGGGCTTCACACTTGCTAGGCAGTCACTCTACCTCTTGAACAACTTGAGCAGCCCTGATTCATCAGCCTTTTGAAAGAACTAAAGTTAGCTCTGAGTCAGAAAAGGTAGAAAAGAGAGGCAGGAACCCAAGAAAGAAAATTGGAAGCATTAAGCATAGCTAAAGCCAGAGGAAAGTTTTGACTTACATTTTTATCTAATCCCATAGTTACAACTGAAAATAAGTTTAGAACACAGTTGAGTTAATTTTTTTAAACTCTGGAAGTAGAAGTTCTAGGTGATTGTGAGAAAAGAGTCATTCTTTTAAAAAAATAATATTGTTTATTTGGGGAGTAAAGTTTTTTTTAAGTGAATCTTCATCCTATGGGTATCTATTAATTCAGGCTAAGTTCCTTAGGCTTAAATATGGATATAGCACAACATAAAAGAAGAAATGCAATTTCATTGTTTCATTCTGTTTTTTAATTTCAGTAGTTAGAGGTACTCTATGGAAACCCTGGAAGGAAAGAGTAATAAAACGACCTGCAACAGCCCATGCTTTAAGACCAGATCAGATGATTAGTGATCAATTTGCAACAAATACAAAGGTTTCAGAAATTCAAGATATGCTACAAGAACTCATAGGCACAGCAATGTTCACTAAATTGGAAAACAATGCTATTAAATATATATCATCAACAATGATAAATCTTTCTAAAGCCTTGACTCTAGTAAATGATGAATTAAAACTTATTAACTTCCAAATTAGCAATATGTATACAGATGAAACAGAACCAGAAAAACAGCTCTCCCTGAGGATAATAAAAGAGTTCAGTGAAGAAAATGTAATGCTTCAGCAGAAACTTAAAGATGCAGAAGAAAAATGTGAACAACTTATTCGATTCAAAATTGTTACACCACTGCCCATAACCTCAGCCTTGAAAGTATTACCTACAATTTCTCCAGAGTCATCAATGACCAAAGCTGTGGACAAAGAGAGCAGCATGGACACTATTTTAGCCAAAGAGTTTGGAAATGTTATAGATGAATCCCAAAGAAAAGGGGTTACAGGCACTGTGAAAAAGTGGGATTCAGCAATGTCATATACAGCCCAAATGCCTCCAGAGTCAACTGAACAGCAATACCTTTTATCTGAAAAAACAAAGAAAAAGCCACCTGAAGATACTACTAAAGAAAACATAGCACCGAAGAAAGATGGTGTCTATCAAAAAGATGGGACTGGTCTGTATCGATCACAGAAAAGAAAGCGCACAAAAGGCCCACAGCCACAAGACACCTCTGAATCAAAAGCTGAACAGAATGTTGTAGAGAGCAAAAGTAGTTACTTCTTTGATCCACAAACAGTGGATAAAAAGAGAAAAGAAGTCCAATCAAAGTCATCTACTGAACCAAAAAGCCAACAAATTTCTTCTGCTAAAACAAAGAGCGAAGATGTCAAAAGTGAGACAAATGTCTTGGAGGAGTCACTCAGGAAGCTCAAATCTGAACACTTAGTTGGAAAAGCCCAATTGTCATCAGAGATTAAAGGGGAACCCTCTATGGAATCAACTGACAAAGAATCCAGAAAAAACATAAGTAGATTAGCAGAGAAGCAACCTGATTTCACCTCTGAGCCACAGAAAGTTGAAAAGAAAGGAAAGAAACAAGTAAGCAAAGAAGGAGCAACTGAAGAGAAAGAAATGTTAGCCTTTACCAAACAAATCCTGTCTTCTCAACCTGGTAAATCACATTCAAAGGTCACTAAACAGACTGTAGGAAGTGCAGATGGCAAAAGTGAACAAAGTAACCTAGAAGCATTTCACCACGCTATACTAACTTTCCTAAAAGAGAAAACTGATAACATTGGAATGCCTTTTGAAAGCAAGAGTGTGATAAAGGAGGAGTTACTAAAAAGAACAGAAGTTGAAAAGTTAGAAGTCATAAAGGAAAAAATTGAAGAATATTTCCAAAAAGTGGCTGAAACTGTGACTAAAACCGTGAGGAAATACAAAAACATAAAAAAGAAAGGACAAGTTGGAGAGAAACCTGTGATATGGCAAAAGGAACCTGTGCCAGGATCACATTTTCAGAAGTCTGAAATTAGCTCCTTCCTCACAGATGAAAGCACAGACCCAGTAATCAGCCATTTAGTACAGATGCTCTGGGATGAAATAGAAAGTGAAAGAGCTACTCTCAGTAGGCAAGTCTCAGTAAGAAAGAAAGAGCACAGCAAGGAAAAAAAGAGGCAGGAGGAATATTTAAAAGATCAAGAAAAAGTAGCTGACTTATCTGGCAAAAGTGTCCAACATGAGATGCCAGAAGAAAAAAAACTCTCAAAGGACAATTTGTTGAGAAAGAAAAGTTTGAAAGAGAAAAAGACATTGCTCCAGATGAAGGAGGAAAAACAAGATCAACAACAGGAGCAGGAACAGTGGCAGGAAGAGGATGTCTGGAAGAAACAGAAAAAACAGAGAATTCAAAAACTGATGGAACAAGATGAGAAAGAAAAGCATGGGCAAGAGAAGCCCATGCAGCAGCAGCTAGAAGAAGGGAACCAAATGGTGAAAGGGCAAGGGGTGACCTTGAAGGAAGGCGAGACAAGGCAGGCTCAGAAAGACAAGAGATATCAGAAGCTGAAAACAGAGATAGAGGAGGAGGAGGAAGAGAAGCTGAGAAGAGCAATAGTGGGTGGTGACAAGAAGAGGATAAGCCAAAAAAAGCAAGAGAGGATGAGGAATGAGGACAAACCTAAAGATGAAACACAAGGATTCACTCAAAGTCAAGTGACATTATCTCCCGGGCCAATGAAACATTTACAAGTTATACCACCATTACAAGGAACAAAGATCAAAAGTGATGTTAAGACATCAGAGATTCTTTCTGCTGAGAAGTACACCATTCCAGGCACTCCTTCCACTTCCATGCAGCCCTCCCCATTTGGGCCCCTCCCTATTTCTGCGCAGCCTGTCACAAAGTTCACCACTCTCACTCCTGAGCAGGCCCAGGGACAGGGAGTCACTATCACTCCTCAGCAGGCCCAGGCTCAGGGGATCACTCTGACCCCTAAGCAAGCCCAGGACCGAGGACTCATTCTCACCCCACAGCAGGTTCAGGCTCAAGGCATCACTCTCACTCCTCAGCAGGCCCAGGATCTAGGGATCATTCTCATACCTCAGCAGGCCCGGGTTCAGGGGATCACTCTTACACTTAAGCAGGCCAAGGACCTGGGAATCACTCTCACCCCTCAGCAGGCCCAGGACCTAGGGATTACTCTCACACCACAGCAGGTTCAGGCTCAAGGGATCACTCTGACTCCTCAGCAGGCCCAGGCTCAGGGGATCACTCTTACCTCTCAGCAGGCCCAGGACCTAGGGATCTCTCTCACACCACAACAGGCCCAGTCTTGGGGGATCACTCTCACCCCTCAGCAGGCACAGGACCTGGGGATTGTTCTCACCCCTCAGCAGGCCCAGGATCTAGGGATCACTCTCATCCATCAGCAGGCATATGCACAGGGGCTCACTCTGACCCCACAGCAAGCACAGGACCTAGGGATCATTGTCACACCTCAGCAGGCTCAGGCTGAATGGATCACTCTCACTCCTCAGCAGGCCCAGGACCTAGGGATCATTGTCACCCCTCAGCAGGCACAGGACCTGGGGATTGTTCTCACCCCAAAGAAAGCCCAGGACCTGGGGATCACTCTCACCCCTCAGCAGGTCCAGGACCTGGGGATCACTCTCACCCCTCAACAGGTTCAGGCTCAAGGGATCACTCTTACCCTCAGAAAGCCCAGGACCTGGGGATCACTCTCACCCCTCAGCAGGTCCAGGACCTGGGGATCACTCTCACCCCTCAACAGGTTCAGGCTCAAGGGATCACTCTTACACCTCAGCAGGCCCAGGACCTAGGGATCACTCTCACCCCTCAGCAGGCCCAGGATCTGGGAATCACTCTCACCCCTCAACAGGTTCAGGCTCAAGGGATCACTCTTACACCTCAGCAGGCACAGGACCTAGGGATCACTCTCACCCCTCAGCAGGCCCAGGATCTAGAGATCACTCTCACCCTCAGCAGGCCCAGGATCTAGGGATCACTCTCACCCTTCAGGATGCACAGGACCTGGGGCTCACTCCCACCCTTCAGCAGTCCCAGGACCTGGCGCTCACTCTCACACCTCAGCAGGTCAAGGCCCTGGGCATTACTCTCACCACTCAGCAGGCCCATGATCTGGGGATCACCCTCACCTCACAAAAGGCCCAGAACCTAAGACTCACTGTCACCCCTCAGCAGGTCAAGGCCTTGGGGATCACTCTGAGTCCTCAGCAGGCCCAGGACCTGGGACTCTCTCTCACCTCTCAGCAGGCCCAGG